ACTATATTGCTATTGAAGTGGTTTTGAAAACATTTTTATATGGTTTTAATTGTACCTTTTTTCAACCAGAAGATTTTGAATTTTTACTTTATAAATTTTAGAAATATACGTTTTTTAGGATGAATCAATTCGATTCGAAACTGGAAGTCAAGGTTCTAAACAAGGACGAATACGACGAGACAGTGAAGGAAGAAGCAAATTTTCAGGTTACGGAGATCGACCAGGTTCTGGCGTTGAGTTCAGTCCGTTTGAATGGAAAGGCGGCGAGGTAACTGTTGTTCTTTCTGAATCTTTCAAGTCTCAAGCAGCAGTAGAACTTTTCTTTTTGAAAAAAATAGCAGGACACAGAACCACCAGGGCGCATTCTCCAGTAGCCGGCTGTAAAATTGAAAATTTTGGAAAAACTTTTGTCATTTATTTTCTACTTGAGAAACGTTAAATTTAAAATTTTCTACGAAAACATGGCCGTTTGAAAAAAAGAGCAACTTACTTTGGTAATTCTCGCCATCTTTTATACTCTCAGTCAAGTTCAATTTTAAAGCAGCACCAGCACTAATCTGACTGGGCCGACTCTACTTTTAGATACTGTATGACCCAAAACAGCTTCCGAAATCGTTAAAACCGCGTCGACTATATTACTCGCCAATTGGCGACGGCGTTGTTGCTGCGGATGGTGTTGAACTGAAGCGACGTCCGAAGGATATGTCGCCAAGAATAACTGTCAGTCATATACGAACAGTTGAACCTGGAGAACCTGGTCGACCTGGTTACAATCTCTATGAACGGCATGTCACTCAGGGTGAGAAGATAGCAGACATACAAAATTATCGTTTTTTTTGCGTAGAACTTCAAAAATTTCTTCTCGAAGAAGCTTGTTTACATGTTTCAGTTTAATAAGCATTAGACAAGTCTGTTTTAAAAATCTAAACAATTTGATATTTTTATACTTACAAAGCTGCTTCTGTTTCGTTAAAAGTTGATAACTGAGTATTGAAACTTAAAAACACTTTACAGGCGGTAGTGCAGTTGGACCTGTTGCACCTGTTTACGAGCTTTCTCCAGCATACAGCCCAAGAAGCGGATCGAATCTTTCTCCTGGTTAGTTTAAGAAACAACCGTAGATAGAACGCTTTTCTGTCGTAAAATTTTTATAAACTTTATCTCTGAATTTAAACTAATCTCGCATTTAGGAAACGATTTGCTTGAAAGGTTGTCAAAGCAGCCATCTGAAAGAGCGACGCCAGATTCTGGAAGAGGACGAAATGGCCCCAATTCTAACTGGTCAGAAAATGATTATCACCCCCGTAACTTGGGTGACGGATGGGACGGAAACAAAGGGCTGCATGACCAACCTGAATATCCAAAAAATAATCGCAATTATGATAATAGCAGTTTTTTAGAATCTCCTATTCCTAGATCAGGTGCTAAATTTTTAGCAATTCTTAGAGTATTCAATTTTATAAATTTATGAAATAACTCAATAGATTTATCAGACTATCAGTAACTCTCTGTATCTGTAGAAAACTACTTTCCGATTTTTTCAGAAAACAGATACGGAAGTGCGCCACCGACCGATTACAATACGTATGACACTTATTCAGCTCCAAATCGCTACGGCACTTACAATGCTGGTGACCGTTACACACCAGACGTTCACGGAAATGATAATTTTGATAACAGAAGTAAAACCGGTGATCGATACAGCACTAATGGTTATTCAACGTCGGATCGCTATGGTAATTATGGAAACAGATATGGCAGCGAAGACCGATACAGAAGTGGTAACCAACCAGACGATGTGTATGGCAGCCGATATGGCAGAGATCCAAATGACTATTACGGTTCATCTGGAAATCTAAATTATAACGATCTCAAAAGTTAGTTAACGACTTTTTAACTTTCGCTATTACTGAAAAAAAAATTTTAGCGTCTTATTTGTCAGCCATTTAGCGGTTCCAGATTTACTGTTTGTCCGACAGAACTCTAATTGAGCAATTAGTTTATTTTTTTAAAATATCTAAAGTAAAGAAAGATATTTTTCCACACAATAGCTCTGTACTGCCACAGTCAGTTCCGGATTACTTAGATTAACGAAGAAATCTTCTTAAGTCTACGTAGTTCTACTTCTCCAGCGAATACTCTACCGTGAGCGCTGTGTAAAAAAAGTTTGTCACTTGAAATTATTATTATTAGAAAAAATCTAGTTCTAGTGAGTTTTAATGTGTTACCTGTCTCAAAAAAACAAAAATTTTCAATAAAATTTTATGTAGCACTTTTCAAAAAAATATATTTGTAGTTGGTGGTATTTATTAATTGCGCCATTTTAATGCTCATATTTATTGTGTAAGTTTCTCAAATATTTTCAGCTTCATATAACAGACATCGATGTACGTCAGAGTCATCTGGAAAATACAATGTTGCAAAAGAATATTTAATAACAAATCCCAGAGAGTTAATTCATCATTACGCCACCACAACTCCAGTAGCGGTTTTAGATCCAAACACCGATAATCAAACAAATTTGAGGAACGTGAAAAAACAATATATTTTTGAAACGGAAGAAAGGTTAGTTCTGAAGTTTTGCAAAATGTTGAAAAAAATAAACGCAGTAAAGAAAATTAGTGGGAAGCAGTGTTAAAGAGAGGTATCGCTCGTCACATCGTCAAAAACCTTCTTATGCTATCTGCTTAACTAAAACTTTGTAGGTTTGCGCCATATCCGCCTTATAGAGGTTCTTCAACAACGGTTCATCCGAACAATTTTGTTAGGCAGCTACGAGACGACAGTAATTTTTTTTGCACTGATTTGCTAAACTCAGCAGCTCTTTTAGACTAACAAAGTTAAAAAAATATGTCTTCTTTTTAGTTAAATGCGCAGAAAAAAACATATTAGAGACTCAGCAAGATTTAGGTAGTAATTTTTTTGTTACCTACAGTCAATAGTTGAATTATTTATCTTGATGTCATTAAAGGTTTCTTAAACTCCCCACAGTGGTTAAACTAAACAAGCTTTGGCTCTATTTTTTTTTAGATTTAACAAGTTCACAAAGAGAAGCAAATCGGTGTCGCGAACCATTGAATGTTAAAGACGAACAAACTACGCGTAGAATTTCTGAAATTTGTCAGAAAACCAAGCGTGAAGTTTCGCCGCGAGAGATCGACTACATTACGGAGAAACTGCTGTGCGACTTGCGAACCGGTCACCCTACGCCTTCACCACTGTAAATTTATATTAAGTAAGTTTCTTTTTGATTCCCTTTGAGTAACATTAAATAAGATAAATTTACTGGCAACTGGTATACATCAAGACAAAAATCAACTGGTACACATCAAGACAAAAATACCAGCAAAAAAAAAAACATTAACAAGCAACGCCACATTAGTCAAAATATTCTTTTCAAACTGACACTTCTGTGTTCCTTTTTATAGATATTTTTTAGCCCTTGACGCTTTGTGTGATAGTAATACTAGTCGCTAATGATTAGAGAACATATAAAGTAAAAAAAAAAGAGTTTAATTTTAGGTCTCTAGCTTCATCAAGGCTGTAAAGAATCAACTTTACTCTACGGAATTTTACAAACATTCTGTTCGACCCTATCAAACGGTCTAAAAACACTACATTTTTTAGACTGTTTAACTGTTCTCCAATTCTTGAAAGGAAAAAGATACATATTTTGGAACAATATCTAATAATTCTTTTTTTTTTTTTTTTTTTTTTTTTTTTTT